CTTTAAACCCTATCAGCTGTTGTTCTGTTGTTTTAAACATTTCTCATAGAAGTAAATGGAAGCCCACTAAACCCTGAAAGGGAAGTTGTGTTCTCAGGCCCTGAAAAGTGTTTATGTCTATTTCTTGAGATGCACATTTTCCTGCTGGTTACAGAAAGTCGAGACGGGAACACAGCCATACACTGTGTGTGTCTGCCGGCTTCAGGGGCTGCTCACAGTCATTTTCATTTTCTTGTGTTGCAGTGTATGAAGGTTTTCCATCAGACCATTTGCTCAGCCCTTTCCTGAATGAGGGATTGAATTTTCCACATGAAATCTTATGAAAGAGAGTGACAAGGCACATGGGTTTCCCAAAAAGCAATAGTTGATGTAATAAACTCTTACACTGGTGAACTTTTTGAATACAAGCGGGTTGAACATTTTATCACTAGGTCATATGCCACAAATATGTCTTAAGTTTAAAAAGATTCAGATTTGAAAGAAGAAGCAGTTTGAATCAAGTAGGAATTATAATTTGTACACTATTTGTTGTTATAATTTATACTCAGTCTTATCATAATTGCCTGTGGTAGGAACTGGATCATTGTTTATTTATTTTAAAAAAATCCACTAGGTGCTATTTGCTCCATTCTTGATGCGGCAGTGCTGAGGTTAGTTAAGTTGGGCCATTTAGGATTCTTAGCTAGGTTTTCTGGACATTGATTTCAGCCTCTTTATCTTTTCTACAATCTCTTCTTTTGTGTCGGCCTTTGGTCTTTTGACAACGTGGAAATAATGCACGGATCTGTCTTTCCCTTTTTTCCTGTCTTTGTGGGAAAAGATTTCTGTAAGACAGACTACTAGGATATTAAGGATTTTGTGTGGGGTAACTTTGGTCAGTTCTAAGGATTTCAATTTATACATATCAATACTTGGTATTCTGCTAATGACAGTAAAATTATAAACTAACTTAAGTATACACCTGTAAGTATAGTACAATAAGCCCATCACCCAGATTAAGGAATTCACAAACGTTTCCATATTTCCTTTATTCAGACCTTTGTTCTTTTCCTTGTCCTTTGATGAAGTATTTCACAGCAAATCCAAGAAGACATGCCATTTTACCCTATGTACTCAAGTAGGCATGTCTGAAAAATGAGGGCCTTTTCTTTGACCAGGTTTTTCCATTTGACCCATGTGCTCGTTAAGTACCAGCTGTATCAGGCATCTCACTAGGCATTAGGGATCCTTGGGGCAATGAGACAGTCCTGGCTTCCAAGGAAGTTAAGGGCTGATGGAAGAAACCAACATGGGACCTTGGGTGCCTCACTTAAGGTCCTGCTGGATGACAACAATTGGACAAAATTTGGGCACAATACAGTAGGATTCACAGAAGGGACTGGTCAGACTTGTAGGGCAGGCCGTGAGAGAGGCGGTCAGCAGGGCTACAAGAGGAGGAATCATTT